TAAGCACATAACAAAACTGATCATTTGAATTCTGATGAATAGAGCACATAGAAGAATTAGACCAGAAATAGAACAGTGCAGAAGATTGCCACTGAGATGATTAGATGTAAGTGCAAGTTCTATGCTAACAGTCTCTTCTATTGCCCTTCCCACTTGTGGAACTTACGTCTGACTCCATGCATCCCACTGAACATTAATGTTCGAAAATTTAAATGTAATGTCATGGTTGCTGTTCTTTTATTCTTCTTGAGTCTTCAAAATGTTTCTCTTTTTTCTGATTCTCTCCCACTCAGTAACCTATTGTGCCTTGGTGGCTTTACTGCCTTGCTTGGGGTGAAATGATTAAAAAAAATGTACATAATAGTATACCATTTTATATAAGTAAATTAATGTAATGAAATAACCTGTCACCTCCATGAGTCACTACACTATAGGTAGTAACTACCTATAAGTATCTGTAAGTCAACAGACTACAGAGACTGGCCAAAATCTTTTTTGGCTTGTTGGTCGAATTCTATGCCTCTGAGCAGAGAGGAACCCGGATGAGGCTATGCCAAAGTTCAGAGTCTTGTTCAGGGAGGTAGACTGACCAGATTCCATTTATGCAGGTCCTACAAGGATTTTTTGGCCGAGCCTATGGGCTCGGAAGACCCGTGTTAAACTCAACCTTGTGCCACATCTACCCCTGTGGAGGGACTAGTAAATATTGACTAAATGGGATCTGTTGAGTACGACTCAGACTTATGCGAGAACTACCAACTTTCCAATAGTAGCACTCACTACTGGATTGACTTGCGACAACCTTGTGCATAACTGTTACCTTTATTCTTATTGTGCTGGTTTTTACAATAAACCTTTACTTATTTTATCCACCTTATATATTACTATTAGCACGGAATATAACATAAATCATAGTATACCATTTTATATATGGAACTTAACTGTGTAGATATTGTAATGCAACTGTACTAATTTAAAATAAATTTACTTAATACTAATTAAAATTGAAGAATAGTTACCAGAGTAAATGATCACTTGAAAAAGATCAAATATTTAGTTGGTCAGAGGAAAAAGCAAAAGAGAAATATGAACACTTCAGGAATGGCATTCTTTTGGATTCCATGTGACAATGCTTGGTTACATTGGTTGTATAGGAATTCTAATGGCCTGCACCTTTAAACCCCACCTCTTAACCCCATCAATAACATTCAAGAAAATCCTCAGAAAAATGGTTGACACGTGTTGTGCAACAAGAATTAATGGAAGAATGATTAATAATACAGAGAGTTGCCCTGGGGGCGAAATCCTGAGCCTCTCTTTAGCTTTTAAAACGCCTTTCAGATTACAGCCTGGCTATTTATCTATGCCCATAGATTTGTATGGGGGGATTGATGTTATATCTACATGAGTATATATAAGGCTCTATACTGAGTGAAGAGTGGGGGGGCATCTATTGCCATTGTGCTTTACCCTAAGGGCTTACAATGCCTGCTTATTATCAGTTACTGTGAGTTGTTATAGCTTTCAGTTGATTATGGAAATGATGCGACTGGTTGCATCTCTCTATTGTGATTGCTGCAAGCAAAAGCTCTCCATGGAAAAAGAACAGAGAAAGAAAGGCATGACAGCCACATAAACACTTTGGCATTATACTCGGTACATTATATAAGCCATTTTGCTCAAAGTGAAATTTACATAGAATTATCAAGTATTAGTCATATAAACATGCACACACATGTGTGTGTGTGTGTGTGTATGTATGTTTAAAAGAAAGGTTTCTGCCCAAATATACAGTAATATATATATATATATATATAAAGAAAAAATATAGTTTTAATGTATGCTATATTTATGGGATAAAGTGCTCAAAATCAGTGTGTATGTCCATATAAAAGGGAATATTGAAGTCAACACTCAGAGGCAACAGACTGTTACATGCTAAACACAATCATCAGGACACATTAGCCTAATAAGCTACATAACAAAACTAATCCTTCGAATTCTGATGAATAGAATTAGACCAGAAATAGGGCAAGAACATGTGGCCTGATGATTGTGTCTAGCATGAAACAGTCTATTGCTTCTGACTGTTGATTTCAATGTTCATTTATATATATATATATAATAATAATAATAATAATAATAATGGACTCTCCTGTCGGTTTCGATGTATGCAGATCTGACAGCTTAGTTGATTCCGTATATATATATATATATATATATATGGAGCAGTAATTATCATATAAAAACTAATGGAAGTTCATGATACTTATAAGAGATCAACTCAGAGTTTCATGATTTCTTTTTCTTCAAGACTCAGACAAGAAATGATTGTATTAATTATTACAGAATATATACCTTATTCTTTTATATATAATAACAAATGTATATAATAAGTGTTTATAAAATAAAATTAATATTCTGTAATGAAATAATCATTCTTTTCAGGGTCCCCAATGTTGTGAAAGCATTTATGATACACACTGTATGTTTTAAAATATATATATATATATATATATATATATATATATATATGTGTGTGTGTGTGTGTGTGTATTTATATATATATATGTGTGTGTGTGTGCATGTGTGTGTATATATATATATATATATATATATATATATATATCTTACTTATTATAAAACGCAGATTGTGTGTGTGTGTGTGTCTGTATGTTTATATATTGGATCAGATTTCCTACATTTTGCAACCGATTTCAACAAAACTTCACGGGACTGCATAAAATTACCTTGCAGTGGTTCTGAAAGTGCCAAAAATTGGAAAAACACAATTGTTTTTGCATGAAATCAATTTGAAAACATGATAAAACATGATTCTGTTGCCAGAATGAAAGGGGGACAACTCATATCGAGTTATACTTATTATAAAACCCAGGTTGTTTGTGTGTGTGTGTGTATGGGTTTATATATGGGATCAGATTTCCTATATTTTTCAACCGATTTCAACAAAACTTCACTTTTTTTAGGCAGGTAGTGTTTCTTACTGTCTTGCACATTTTTTCTTTATTTTTACATTCAGAATGCTTTAAAAATTCCATTTACAAGACAATTGTTTATAATAAAATTCTATTCAATTGGTTGACTCATATCGATTGAAAACAATGTTTTTGTTTGAGTTTGGGTTTGACCAATTCGTAAAAAAAAAAACAGAACAAAAGAAACTAATTAAGACATGGGTGTCCGTCAACCTTAAACAATAATTTATGTCAATTTTATTTTTCAGTCTTTATGATGGTCGATACTTGATCTATCTCTTACTGTTACATCCCTGGGCAATGCCGGGCTCTACTGCTAGTCTATATATATAACACCTTAAAACTATATATATATATATATATATATATATATATATATAAATATAATGTGTGTGTGTTTGTATTATATATGCTTATTAATGGATATATGTAGAAATTAAGTATGCTTAAGTATAACATATATGCATCTCAATATGTTGTTGTATAGTTGTGTATGTTGACATTGTTATACAGATGTGAAATTGACTTTTTAGATTATATGTGTATCTGTGCCTGTGTGTGTATATTCGATTTTTTTTTCATATTCAAGACGATCTTATAGTTGACTTAACTGGATAAAAGGAAAAGTGAATTTTGATTCTTTTTCATCCATTTTCTGTACTATTTTGTAATGTTCTTCATTTCTTATCTGATTTTTTATCATTATCTGCCTGTTCTTATCTCTTGATCTCTCGATGTACAACCATACACATAAGTATCTATGCAGAACCTTTTCATTCAGCTTTTATGCTCGTTCAAATTGTGCTTCTTTTTTTTTATCAAATAAGTAAATAAATAAAATGTCTGCTTTTATCTCTTATAAATGTTTTGAATAAATATCTTATTTTTATGACTTGAATGAAAATTTCTTTATAATTGTCTCAGCTCAAACATGATGAAATGCAAAAATAAGAAATTATTTACAATATTCAGATTAAATATTTCAACATCTATTAAAGTGCACGTGGGTAGCGTATAAGTTTATTTTATGAATATATGGATATCAGATTGAAAGTATATGTTTTTAAAATCTTGTCCTTTCACGGTTTAGGGGATCATGACTCTCCACAGCTTTTTTTTTTTTTAATATCTGTAAACTTTCTATTCTTGTGATTGGTTTTTTTCGAATGACAGTTGCATGGCTTCCTGTTTTCTTTAGCTCAGGTTTAAATTCAGAGTCACCATTCTCGTTGAGTTATTACTAAACAAGGCAAGAGAACTCAGTCTACTTTTTGATGTTACCAAAATGGCTGAGGATAGGAAAAAGAACATTAGTTGAAAATGAACACAAAAACTCTCTGCCAAAACTTGCTTCATAGTCAACTTTGAAACAGGTCACTATATTCTACCTCTAACAATTTTGCCATGTTCCATCCCAGGCAATTAATTAAGGATACATTTAAGCATTCTAATCTATCTTTCCTCAGTATTTTTCTGTTTATTCACCAATCTCAGTCTGTTCTCTTTATATTATCTATCAATATTAGTTTGTTCCTATCGATATCACTCTGTTCCTATCTATTTATCTATCTCAGTCTGTTCCTATCTATCTATATATCTATCTATCTATATCACTCTGTTCCTATCTATCTATTTATCTGTCTATATCAGTCTGTTCCTATCTTTTATTTTATTTATCTAGATATCTATCTATCTCAGTCTGTTCCTAGATATCTATTATTTTATCTATCTCTCCCAGTCATTTCTCTCTCTCTATTTATCTAAATATTTATATCAGTCTATATTTATCTATCTATTAATGAGTAAACTGTTATATTAAAATATATTTATATATATCATAATATTATTATACTTCTCTGTTCCTGGCTATCTTCTTCACTATTGAAAGGATGCTAGTGTCCACATGCATAGCCTTGGCATTTATGTCTGTGAATATCAGCAAGTAGTGGCAAAGGAAATGTTCATTGAATCTTTGGATTCTTTTTATATGTGCTTCCAGGGCTTAGGGCCACATCACGTAGAAACACCAGGTCCCATACAATTACCACAGTTAAGCAATGTCGAGCCTGGTCAGTAACTAGATGGGTGACCACTTGGAAATACCAAGTGCTGTAAGCTTGGATGTGCAGGTGGTGTAATGGAGAACGGGTTGGAATTGTTAATCAGAGAGCTAAATTCCAGTTTCTGTTGGATTCATTATATTCACTTACTTGCAAATACTCTTGAGAAAGGTATCAACCTCTTCCCCCACCAGCTATGAGTTAAATAGTAAGACTTGTATCAGAAAACCATTATTATCCCCAATGAAAAAAATTCTTACATTTTAAAAATATTTTCTGGCTTTAAATAACCTACAAAAGGTGGATAAGCCATAGAAAACAAATCAATCAATCAATATATAGAGCTTCCAACTTTCATTATTAAACTCAGTCAATTCCTACTGCTTCCTTTTATCATTCCCCTTCTTCTCAGGACTGTTGCTTGCTAGGTAGAATTTCTGATGGTATAGATAAGACAATTTCTCTACGATAATTTTCAAATATCTTTGTGTTAGGCAAATTCAATGGCTATCATGTCAAATGATTTCATCACTCCAATGCCACTGTCCTTTTACCATCCAGACATTGAACTTCTGAATTACTCAATCTCTCACTCTCTCACTTTCCCATATTTCCCGAGTAATTCTGGTGGACACACTTCTCTATTTAATCAGTTTCTTACCTCATCCCTGGTCTCATATTTTGCAACTTCGCTCTCTTTTTCCTAGCAACTGATTCAGTATCCATTCTACCATGTGTGGAGGTTAGCATCAGCCATGCTGGTGGAAGGCAGAAAACGTTCTCTATGGTTTTGTTTTGGAGGTGTAAAATGTTGCAAGCCATTCCTAGCTCCACTGATTGTAGGTAATTTCAAGATCAGCTGCCAGTTTTACTTTGTTGGATCAATTGGACTTACTGCTAAGACAAAAGTAAATAGTTGTATCAATGTATGATGATGATAAGAAGGAATATAGATCTAATGATAGAGGCCTTGAAGGCTGCTCATATTAATCTGAAATGAGCTCGGTTTCATTGTTTTAGTAGTGAACAAGATTTAACAGCAATTTCTATTCTAATAGTTTCTTTCCTTACACTTCTTGCCTGTGGAATTCTCATCAGGTTTATTGCTTCATTGCCACCTACAATCGTCAAAAGTTAAATACAGTGCTAATTGCCATCTTCTGAATTTCTGGATCCTACTCTTTTTATTGTTCTTTCTCCTCACTAAACTCTTCTCATTCTTTTTCACTCCTAGTAACCCCACTTGCATCTTAGGGGCATTAACACCTTACTTGTGATGAAATGATTAAAAAAAAATGAAACAGAAGGAAAACTTAATGAAAGAATTGGAGGGATGCTGAAAAAATAAATTTACAAAAATAAGAAGTTGTGGAGAGCCATGATTGCCAGTATCCTGAAAGGACACAGTACATAAATGAAGAAGTTCTATATTTGCATCGACACATATTTAAACACACACATATCACATATATGTATATACACATAGAAGGTGGATCAATAAGTCAATAGCCTGGCATGTACTTATTAACTGAATGTTAATCTGAAATTTACAGTATGTAATATGATCATTGTGTGTGATATTGACTGTAGAATTAAGTGCATTAACAAGGAAAGTGACAATGTAAATAATATATATTTGTTAAGTTGCAGACTTTGAGTACAGGCAAAAAAACATATTCACACACACACACATGCAAAAACACATACATAGATACACACACACAAATGTATAGCCATACACACATATAAAATAGATATCAGTACAAGCTCGCCCACACATGCATACATATGCAAACAAAAAATTACATAACTATGTATACCTTCTATGTGCTGAATGGCGATCATGCCTCTCCACAACATCCTGTCTTTTGTAGTTCTTAATAAAATCTGTTTTTTCTATCTTTCCTCATCAATGTTTTGCTAACGATCTACACAAGCTTGTTAGGCAGAGGCTATTTACTGCTTTCCTCTAATCCTCCTTGCCTTCAATATGTCCTGTGAGGATCACATTCTCCAAGTCCTCTTTCCTCATTATGTGTTATTGACATTTCAAGTGTCTCTTTCTGATTCTAAGTATAATTGTCCATATTGTCTCCATTTTCCAAAATTTTTTGTCGTTACTCACATGTTCAGTGCATGGTATTCTCAGCATCCTTCTGTAGAGCCACATTTTTATCACCTCAAGTCCCTTCTTCATCTTTGAAGAAATTAGCCAGCATTCATTGTCATATAGCAGGATTGATATTATATAATAGTTCAGTACTCTTTTCTTTGTTTTTAACTTAATTTTCTTGTTTCTTTGCTTAGCTTTTTGAAGGCATGTTTTGATATTCCAATGCCCCTTCTGTTTTAAAGTTACATTCTGTGTCCTTTGTTAAATTTGATTTTGGTGTATCCAATTTGAAATTCACAACTTGAACTGCTCATTTTGCTGACAACCATACAGCTTCTTTTTTTTTTTATATATTTGCTTTCCTTCACTACCTTCCTGTCGTTTCTTTTCTTTGTCTGCAATCAACACAGTCTCTTCTGCATATCTTATGTCGTTAATATTGTGACAATCAATAATGAATCCGTGTTGGACCTCTAATTCTCACAAGATCGCCTCACAAGTCCAGTGAGAAAACAGACGATTGTCTTAAACCCCCTTTCTAGTTTTGAATATTTACTAAATTCATTTTTTATCCGTATGCAGGTGGTTTGTTCCGAGTAAAATTTCTGGATTATTCTAATACCCCTTCTCAAATATGTCAAAGTTACCTAGCAGTTCCAACAGATCTTAGTGATATACTTTATCAAATGCTTTTACATAATATATAAAACATAGGTATAGATCCTTTTGTATTTCTGTTGCTCTTTCTGATATTCTAAGTATAAATATTGCATTTCTTGATCCATTGTCTTTAACAAAACTGGTCTAATTCTGCTACACACTCTCAAACACAAATTTAAATATATAAACTCTATTCATGAATACACATAGATATACATACACACGCACACATATGCAAAAATACAGATCCATGCAGAAACAAAATCATACACAGACACACACACACACACACACACACACACACACACACACACACACTCTTATATATATTTATATACACACATAAAAATACATTGCTATAGTTCACTAACTAGCAAACTATTATCACAGTCAATCCTCATTGGGTGACATATACTTGTGACCCAGAGAAGTGTAAAAAATATCAACTAGGGTACTAAATATAGTATGATTAATTGATTTTTTTTACAGTTTATCACCCCTTTTGTGGCTTATTTAAAGTCAAAACATATTTTGGGTTGTGAGAATAAAATTCTCTTTTATTGTGAGTGAATATTGCATTAATAATTTTTTAAGAATAACAATTTTTCCAGATATAAGGGCTACTATTTAACCCATAGCTGTGGGTGAGGAGATGGATTCATATCTTTCCCAAAATTATTTATGCATAAATGAATGTAACGAACCTGACTGCAACTCAAACTTGCCTCTTTGATTTCTCATTCCAACTCACTATTCATTGCGCCAAAATTTATTTACCACTTCAGTAGGGCAAAGGTCAGGTTTATTGTGGGACCCTGTAGTAAGGTAAATTTGTTTGTTATATTGTAGGTGATTATCAGAAATATTATACCCACTGTAGATATGTATAACGACAAGTAGATATGAACTGGTAGATGGAAATATTTATAAATATTATGTTTCAATTTGCTACATTTATACACAGTAGACTTAATATATTTTGCAAGAAATTATGCTTATGGGAATTGGGGTGGTGCTACTTTATTCAAAGTGAAAAATATTTTTTCCATCCTTAAGCAGATACAATATTATTAGTCCTGATCAGGATTTTGGCTTCAGTCATTTTCCTTTCCCACTGCAGTTGCATAATTTCTCTGTGCCTTTTCTATGAATATTTTCAAAGTAATTGTTCTGATGAGCTCTCCGCTCTGGTACTTCAACTTCATGAATTTAAGTGCAGTACTTGATTGGCAGTTAGGTCTCATCATTTTACTGTTGAAATTGCTAAGTGTAAGTTCTATTCTAATGTTCCCTTCTATAACATTTTTCACTTCTTTCTTTCCTGTCAACTATGATTTTCAAAAATTGAAATGTATTGTGAACCTTAATCTGTCTCCTTGAATGATGTTCCCTTTACTGTGTTTTCTCCTCAGTAACATTTTCTCAGTTTCTTTCCCTCTCAGTAACTCATCACATCTTAGCAGACTTATTGCCTTGCATGGGGTGAAATGATTAAACTCTGGATATTGTCGGTATTGCCTACATAACATCTTTTATCTATATACTGATTTTTTTTAGAATAAATAATTGTTAAATATTTTCAAGAGAACAGTCTAACTTTGATGAACTTTTACATTTTTACTTTTTTATTCAGCAAAAACAAAAATGAAAACACTAAATGAATGAAATAAACAAAAAGAAAACCAGTCAGCTGATTGTGATATTAAACACTTTATTAAACACTTTATTAAACACTTTATTAAACATCCAATCAATTAGTTGATACTGGAAAAATTTCAGAGAAGATAAAAGTATTGAAAAAAAAGTTTAAAAATATCAGGTGATTAATAAGATACTACAAATTGGGCGTGATGAAGTCTGGACATTTTGTTGGTAAGCAAGAAAGAGGGTTGGATAGGAATGTTGATTAATCAGTAACCACACACACACACACACATATATATATATATATATATATATATATATATATATATATATATATATATGTATATATAGGCAGTAAGGTAACTGAATAGGTTTTATAATTGGACTAAAGCTGTAAAACCTGTAATGAAACCAATGACTTTCTTCTCATGATCGTAATAAGAATTACATTTTAAAAAAATTCTCGCTAATTGAAATGATAAAAACTCCATTATATCTATTCTTACTAAATATTGCCTTGATATGAAGTCATTTTCTATTATAGAATTCATATTGTAATTATTTGCAAATGGTGGTTATCATTAATCTTAATTATTATTATCAACTATTATTAAAGCATTGTTACTAGCATACCACAATGGCTGATGAAAAAGAATGCAGAAAAGCCAATGAAAAAACATCTTAAGTTGGCAGCTCATAGATAAGCAGCTTCTTTCTTTGACAGGCATTTTTTGTCATTTTATATTTATTAAAAAGTAACTTAATTACTGGTGGTGTCTTGTTTAGATAGCAAATAGATTTACTTTCAAAGTTAAAGTATATTAATAGCCACTGCTATATTTTGTGATGTTTTACTGTGTTGAAGTAACAACTATGCAAACATATAAAAATTAATCTCAATCTTCAAGACGTACAAACAACTCACAAGGAAATGGAAAAAAATATTCCAGGTTAAATTTAAGTGATATTGCTATTTTATTTAGAGAGTGGGAAAAGGTAGAGTGTTGACCTATTTTGATATACTGACCTCAGTATGTTATTTGAGGATGGTGGATGGGCTTCAGGATGGGGGAAAAGCTTCAGGATGGTGGAGGGCCTTGAGGATGGTACAAGGCCTCGAGGATGGTGGAAGGGATGAGGATGGTGGAAGGGCTTGATGGATGATGGAAGGGCTTGAGGGCGTTAGAAGGACTTGAGGATGATGGAAGGCCTTGAGGATGGTACAAGGCCTCGAGGATGGTGGAAGACCTCGAGGATGTTGGAAGGGCTTCAGGATGATGGAAGGCCTTCAGGATGGTGGAAGGGCTTGAAGATGATGGAAGCCCTTCAGGATGGTGGAAGGGCTTGAGGATGGTGGAAGGTCTTCAGGATGGTGGAAGGGCTTAACATGTAGTTAGTTCAGTGTGAACAATTCTGTCTGTTTATGTCAATGGCTAAATTTCAATGCTGATATATTTAATTCAACAAATTATTTGTAAATAAATAGTAAAAGATGATATTTTTAAAGATTTCAAAATTAGCTAAAAATTTTCATGATTTTTTTATATAAATAATAACCAAGAAATTAAAATTAAAATACCTTATATACACACACACACACACACATATATATATATATATATATATATATATATATATATATATATATATATATATATATATATAAGTAATGTACAAAGCAAGTAGCTGCTAAGGGTGTGCACTACAAAGACATACTGGAGAAAAGAGCTTGTGACCATATTTAATGGCAGAACCTTATTATAATTTTCTCATTAACTTTGCAATAAAAACAGTGACTGACCATTAATAATTGTTTCATGAATTGGCACATAATCAAAAGCCAGTCAGCAACTTTTTTGGTGAAATGGACATTTTATACTCCCTCAGCTAACAAACTAAACTTAACAGGAGAGGGGGAAAATGTCCATAAAGTCAAGTTTGAAATGCTGAAGAATCATTATTACTTGTGGAAGAAAAAATACAAATACCAAAAATAAAATTAAAAAACCTTCCTAGAAAAGTGTGCACGATAACATGAAAAACAATAGGGTCCAAAGAAAGGAGCATAAAAGCTAAAAGCAAAATAGGAATTTTGTCAATACAGACACTTAAAATCAAAGTCTCACTGTTTAAGAAAATAAAAAAAAACAAAAAAAACAGGGATATCAACTTGAACACATGTGCCTACTTAAAATAATGGTTTATAGAAATAAGAATTATTGTGGGTATTTATATCGATTTAAAAATGACTGTTGTTTACATTTGAGATACAAAACTGAAACCAACAGATTTATATTTCTAGAAGACCCAACAAGAAAAATGTTTTCCTCAAAAAACTCATTGAAATCTTGCTCTGTGGCCTTTGCAGACAAATTGGCAAAGGCATACTTTGGCTCTAGAAGTGGTTACTCTGATGGAAAAGTGGATGCAGGTTTTATTGCTCTCAGAGACACAATCTTTTTTAGTAGACATTCTCAATCTAGTTCAGTTGTTATTATTTTCAATAACTCAAATACATGGAAACATTAAAAATAATGTTTACAGAAATGAGAAATATACATTATATTCACTTACATACTAATATGCTTGTGAAAAGTCTGAATCCAGCTTGTCTCCCCCCAGCTATGGTTAAATAACAGGACAAACTAAATCCTATAGCTTTGGGTGATGAATAGTCTAGCAGAAGGATAACTCTGAATTCAAAATATGCAGAAGATCATTTGGGGACCTTGTGGTATACTGTGCATCAATTCTTTGTATTCGGCTCTTCCAAAATGGGTGTATGGTTCTTCAGAAGCATTCACCACTATAATTAAATATGTGTGGGTAGTCTGACTGTTGGTTCTAAGAACTAAGCTGCTTGATCATCATATGTTGAAAATGATGGGGGAATCCTATATATATATATGTAAGCAAATATATGGATATAGATCCGACAGTATGAAGAAAAATATACGGAAAAAACAAACAAAAATCCTAATATGCAATTATGCTGTTTTAATGTTAATATAATGTCAACGTCAGACGTTTCGGTCTAGTAGACCATCTTCAGGACATATTCATGAAACATAATTAACATTAGACTTTAATTCAACATGAAAAGACGATGGACATAAAAGTAAAACTAATCAAAACAGATAACTGAATTTTTTAAGATCAGCGTTCTGTTTATATATATATTGTCTGGGTCAATATCTGTGGATGTGTGTGCATGTATTTATAATTGTTTATGTGTATGAAAGTGCATTCACTTTTAATAGTGTATGTATGTACGTGTGCGTTGGTTTCTTTCCCTCCCTCCCCCACCCTTCCCTTTTTTTTTTTTTTTTTTTTATACGATCGTGGTGATGTTCTCTGTCTCGTCTCCTTTTTTTTTGTGTGTATATATATTTAAATATGTCTGGGTGCTTATATATTATAATCTGATTGCGTTTGTTTTTACGCGTGAGTTTAGGACCCCATTCACACGCTCTTAGGATTAAAATGGATACATTGTCAAAAGATCGGATATAAAATTAGCTAAAAGTAACTTCAATGAAGAAATAAATTGAATAACATATATTTCTTCTTTTCTCCTCAGTAATTTTAGTTGTAAACTTAATAGCGATTAAATTTTGATTTTGAAATTAGCAGTTTTTAATTTTATTATTAAATTTTATCATATAATTTAGTAATTATTGGTTAGAATAAATTCTTTTTTAATACTACCCATATTTTAAATATTTGAATAGCTATTATAACATGACTTCGTTGTAAAGCTTTTTGAATTTTCCTATACTTGTATTTTTATTGGTCCATCTAGCTTTTGTAACAACGTTTTCCCCTTGTGAAGGATTGTTAATTAATTCAAAGCTTTTAAAACCATTTATTTTACATTCAACATCATCACTTGATAAGACACTGAGAGTGTTGAAACAAAATGGCTATTTTTGTAGTGATTTTATAACATTTATGTTATAAATTTTTTTTAAATAAATAATTATATATATATATATATATATATATATATATATATTGGACTCCCCCATCATTTTCAACATATGAAGGTGAAGCAGCTCAGTTTCATTTATTATTTCATTTAACCAATTTTTTGTATAGATGCTTGAATAAGAATTCATTTAAATAAATATAGTTAAATTCAATCAATGTTTTTGTTTTTAAATGATATTATACCACTTTTACAATTTTTGGTTAAATTGTACATCCAATTCAAAAATCTGCTCTACTTTGTATTGAGCACTCTTTTAAGAATAGTAATTGTTGGTTATTGGAATTCATTCCGTATACATGGATATATATATATATATATATATATATATTTAAAGATATTTTTGTAAGTACAAAATTTAATGACAGAAGTAAAACTTAATATTACTAGACATATTAAAAAAAAAAAACAGGTGAAGCATCCGGTTTCGCTCCCACTCTTCAGGCTTCAATGGGAGATTTAATTTAAATTAAAACACAGAAAATGTACGATAAAAAGGAAGTTGTGGAAGTGAGGAAAAAAATGAGCAAAAGGAACTAGAGACAAATGACATATATATATACATACATATATTTGGATATGTGGATAGATTAATGATTTTGTGTATACCTGTGTATTTGAAAATATATATTAGATGTGTATATTTTTATTTAAATTATATTTATATGTTTGTAAATTCATAAAGATTTTTATCCCATAAATAAATTGACAGCTCCACTTCCTTAACTGTATGGTATAAATATCAATATTTAAATTTTACAATGGTCACTTTCCAGTCAGCACCTGATGATTGCATCTTGCATGAAACTCACTTGTGCTACAAATGAGGAACAAAATGTATACTTATTACTAGTATATATATATATATATATATATATATATATATATATATAAAAGTGAATATTGAAGTCAATACTTAGAGGCTACAGACTGTTTCATGCTAAATATAATCGTCAGGTTTTATATATATATATATATATATGTGTGTATATATATATATATTACATAATTTTGCATAATTTTATATATCAAAAAACAGTATTTAGAAAAATATGACAAACTAAAAAGGTTTTTTGTGATGTGTTTCACCTGTTAGGATTTCACAAAAAAAAACTTTCCAGTTTGTCATATATATATATATATATATATATATATTGGGCTCACAGAATGTCCATGCATGTGTCTGCTGAGGTCTGGAGGTGCTTTGCAAATGTTTAGACAGATGGAAAATGAGTTTGAGCAATTTGCTTGATTGCTTAGGGTTTAATTGTCACGTGTTTGCACAAGTGGACATTAAGGCCTGTTTTCCTGTATGCCAGAAAGTCACATTATCAGGTAAGGTTATCCTTGAGAGGTGGGCAGCATTTTGTCTTCTTGCTTTAATATCTGCACGCAGTTGATCCCGATATTCAAGTTAGCATCACTAAAACCTTTGTAGAAATGCAAAGCAAGACAGGTACCCAGCTCCTTTGGTCAGATGTTTTGTTTTCCAATGAAGGAAAGGAGATGCTGTATTGCCCTTTCAGACTGTCTTTGAAATGCAAGAGTGACCCGCCAACTGACCTGCTTGTTAGAAGCTGGCTGAAGAGAAATTGTTTTGGAAGTCTGCTATCAGAGTTTGTCTATATTTCTGAGATGAGGTATTATGTACAGTATTTACATTAGTCGGACTATTGTCCTCATCTTTGTCGCCATATTTGTCACAACGTTTCGCCCGTTGTACGCTCCGGCCTTCTTCAGGTGGTTGGAATTTCGAACTGAACCCTTTATTTCGATCGCTGGGGTAGACTGTTCTAATTCCACGTGCCATGTTTGATGGATGTCAGTTATCAGTTATCTCCTGCTAATTTTCCCTCTGAAAGTTCTCCACTGCCTTAACCAGGAATTGAACTCACCTTCTTTTTGGGTCTGTCACTGGATCTAACCAACGCCTTTATCCACTGTGCCATGTGTCCTTGGCATGTGGAATTAGAACAGTCTACCCCAGCGATCGAAATAAAGGGTTCAGTTCGAAATTCCAACCACCTGAAGAAGGCCGGAGCGTACAACGGCCGAAACGTTGTGACAAATATGGCGACAAAGATGAGGACAATAGTCCGACTAATGTAAAGTCTGCTATCGCTTAAACAAGAAAGTTATCCTGTCCACCTGAGTTGGATTTTCATTAGGCTGGCTTCAGTGCCTGTCATGTTGTGTTTAGTCAGAAATTCAAGGCATAATGTGTACTCCCTTTGCATTGATATTTAATGTATGCCCCTAATTAATATTAAGGAACGTGATTCTTTCTCCCTGATACTGCTTTTTTTACTAACCCCTTTCTCATTCTCTTTTCTTCTGGTCACATTTTGTGTCAGCTCTCTCGAATCAGTCTGTC